AGGAGAGTTAATAAAGTCGGTTTTCGACCTTTTAATTTGGATGAAAGTGTTCAAAATCATTTTCTTACTAGGAAGTGGCGTCAAGTGGGTTGACTCAGAGCAATTTAAAACCTCTGAGAAAAAATTAGGTCAGTCAAACAGGTCCATTGACATACTTTCCCTACCCTACTGGTCGTTACCGATCATGTGGCAACGTTTTCCCTTTCCGCATCTGTGCAGCCTCGCTGCAGAGAGATATATTTCGTTTCGTGCAAGGTCCTTACGTTTTTAGCGCTTCGGTATGGTTACATAATAAGCCAGACTGGTATTCCAGGCTTAGCTAGGCAAACGTACGGGTAAATCAATGATGTGTGGAATATGGCCAATAGGTGCGAACAACTGAGGTTGAGTGCGTATAATATAATTGTAATAATATTTATTCCAAATCTAGAATCACAAATACATAATGTGTAGAAATTATAGATGTGGAACTAACGTCATACCTATGCAAAAACTAAGACGAAGCGTTCATGTATTTAGAAACAGTCTGGTTCCACCCGTTTCAGGTTTTTTTAAGGTTCCTGTACCTTCCATCGCTTTCAAATGATCAGGTAGTTTATTACAATTGTGCGCAAAAGTGTTTGTTTCAGTTACTGTCAGATTATGCTGAGGTAGCAAAACATTCAGAGCTCTTGTTCCTCATGTGTCATCGTTTTTCGTGGGAAAATTGTTTCTATTTTCTACTGTGAACAAAACACAATCAAAAATGCAAGGTGCATATCTGTCATTGACCCCTTACACTTGAATACGTCGCTACATGTTTAATTCAATTTCATATGTCTAAATGCTCAGTCTTGAGCTGCCTTCAAGCAGTATTATTCCATAACGTGAAACAGATTCAAAATGTGCACAATGTACAATTTTTAAACATTCTGTCAGCTGATATTTCTCAGTTTCAAAGCGGTTTATTTGTGTGTGGAGTTCAAGACAGAATTCATAGTTTTAACTTATCACAAAAGATCAGTGAGCCAACAAGATTCAATTTTGCCACAAGAGAGGCTAGCCTCATTGATATAATCTGTGCTAGTGAGGATCTTATCTCTATCGATTCTAAATCATTGGCAGTTTCTCAAAATCTCTCAGATCATAACTTAATTTACTCAACCTTTCGAAACTCAAAAATAAATAAATCACAAAAGACTATTAAGTATAGAGACTACAATAATATAGATAGAGAATCCTTCTTAAATGAAGGGTTTCTACTTGGGTGGGAGGATATTTACTATATAAACCAAATCGACCAAAAAATAGAAGTCTTTAATAAAAATATAGTAACTTTTCTGAATAAACATGCTCCGATAAAAACAAAACAAATAACCGAAAAACCTTATGTACCCTGGATAACTCAAAATATCAGAATTTTAATCAGACTAAGAGATAAAGCTCATAAAAAATTTCAAAAATCAAAATCACAGGCTCATTTTGAATATTATAAACAACTAAGGAACTATACAAAGCATGCAATTATCCGAGAAAAAAATACATTCTTTAACTTACTCTCAACAAAGAAAGGTAAGGAATTTTGGGACACTACCAAAAAGCTCAACATAACATGCAAGAAAACTCACTCAACTATACACGAACACTTACAAAATGTAAATGACATACACAATTACTTCCAGCAGACCGACAATTTACCAGACACTGCTTCCCAAGGATTAATCAATTTTTACAAAAACCAATGTAAACATTAACGATTCTCTTAGCTTCCAACTGTTAGACAGGGCCAGTCTAATCAAAATTGTAACTAATATATCATCAAATGCCATTGGAGAGGATGGTTTCTCTATGAGAGACCTAAAGTTATGTATCCCATTTTATACGAATGCCTTGCTGAATATAATCAACACATGTATTTTGGGGGGATTATTTCCAGAAATATGGAAGAAAGCTATTGTTAAACCCTTACCAAAAATAGCAGAACCTAAAGAATTTACAGGCTTGAGGCCTATTAGCATATTACCCGCTACATCCAAAATTTTAGAAAGGCATATTTATAATCAAATTAGATTTTTTTGTGACACAAACGATATCATACCCGATAGTCAATCCGGTTTTAGGAAAAACTCTGGCACAAGTACATCATTAGTTAATATCTTGGATGATATCAGACATCATCAAGAACAAAAAAATAGTACGTGCATGGTTCTCCTCGATTTTAGTAAAGCGTTCGACACTCTGAATCATGAAATGTTACTAGCTAAGTTACATTACCAGGGGTTTTCGCAGAATTCAGTAAATCTAATAAAAACATACTTAAGCAACCGTTCAAACTGTGTTATGTTAGCAAATGATTCAGCGATTTACAAAACCGATTTTAAACCTATAAAAAGAGGAGTTCCTCAAGGTTCAATTTTATCACCTTTGCTATTCTCAGTCTACATATCTGACATGGTCAAATCGGTAAAATTCGCAAAGATAAAACAATATGCAGATGACTCACAAATATATCTCCCTGTCAATAAAACCACAATCCATATTGCACAACAACAACTAAATTCAGATCTCCAAAGAATTGACAGATTTGCAAAGCATCACAATCTTAAACTAAACCCCTCAAAATCGCAAGTAATGGTTATGAATAAAAACAGTACTGAAAGAGAACATTTTGAACAAAATTTAGTAATTTATATTAACAATGACAGAATCCCCATAGTTCAGGAGACAAAAAATCTAGGCATTATATTTGATAGCTCGCTTGGCTTCGGCAGTCATATAAAAAACAGAACAAATTTAGCTTACATTCGACTAAAAAATATAAACAAATTAAAAAAACATTTATCAGCCAAACAAAAATATTATTTGTGTAATACCTTAATTTTATCACTTTTTGACTATGGAGATGTCGTCTATGATGATTCGCTATCGTCGCGAACCAAAAAATGCATACAAAAAGTTCAAAATAGTTGCATGAGATTTGCGTTTGGAATTCCATATCGAAACCATATCACTCCTTATCTGAATAACTACAACATATTAAACATGACGAATCGCAGAAAATATCACATGTATTCTTTTATCTATAGGGTTATAAAAACAGGTCAACCACCCTATTTAAGAGAAAGATTTGTGCCTTTGCCTAGTCCCCAGAGAAGCAGAAATAATCTCAATTTTATCGTACCTAGGCATAGAACGCGTTCCTTCCGACGATCGTTTGCCTATGTGGCGGTTCACTTATGGAATAATTTACCAACTTCAGTTAAAAGCTCATCGTCAAAAACATTCTCAAAACTGACAAAAACATTGTTACAGAATCACCAGCTACTTTAGCAGCGTTTGTGTGAGCAAAAATATTGTTTTTACATTCCTACTCGCTGACAGGTTGTATAGATTTGTTTTTCGCGTCCGTTGCCAGCTCCCGGGGGTTCTTTCTTCGTTTTTGCCTTTTTTGTGTTTCACCGCCTCTTCATTTGCCTCTTTTTTGTTTTTTTTATTTTGTTTAAGGACTTTTAGGGTATTCAGGGCTTTCTCGCATGGACTCTTTGTATTAAAGGGTCCAATGTATCGGTTTTATAATCGAGAGACTGTCCTTTTTCGTCATTACTCTATATGTAGAATTTCCTTTGTTTATGATGTTTATTCATGACGAAATAAATATTTTGAATTTGAATTTGAATTTGAATTTGAAATTTAACTAAATGTATTCTTAATACTTTAGCTTGCTGACTTATTTGGATATTTCCATCAAAGAGTGTGATATTTTGTGATATGTCAACCTGTGATTGCTTTGTTCTAAATATTACTAAATCAGTTTTGTCAGTATTTAGTACAAGTTGATTCATGGCAAACCATTTCCTCACTGATTCAAACACCTGCTGACCATTATGTTCCAATCCAGTGGTGCTTCTGTCGTTAATGAGTATGCTGGTATCGTCAGCATAATTAATTGTTGTAACACCACAATTCTTAATGCCATCTCTTAGGTCATTGATGTTTATGACAAATAATAAGGGACCTAACACACTGCCCTGTGGTATACCTCGTTACAAATGAAATCTGACTTGACTTTTTATCGCTACGTTGTTTTCTAGATTTTATCCAGGGCGGTGTGTTAGCCCTCATACCATATCTGCTCAATCTGTCAAATAGGATCTTAAAAAGGTCAAGAAATGACCCCATTGCTAAATGCTTATCTTCCATATACTAGAATCAAAAAAATTTCATATGATTTCCGGTGTACTTTTGTCTCTACTCAGTTTTGCTCCATCTTTTTGGGGTTTTGGGTTTTCGCGTTCACTGGATTGAGATAAGGAGCCGACAATACTTCATGATACATATATCGCATGTGTAGATCCAACCATTTCTTGAGTCTTCATTTTTCTAAAGATTTCTATAGAACTAAAACGACCACGAACTCGTATTCAAGAGACAAAAATACTCCGAAATTATATACAGCACCGGAAATCGTATGTCACATATAAAGTAAAAATATCCGTTTTTGTAGATATGAGAGGGAAAACAGCGATAAATATGAGTGATATAGTTGGCATATACTTATTACCATGTTATTAAGAAAATCTTGCTGACAATGTTTTGAAAAATGCTACTATTAGGTGCTGGAGTTTTCAATATCTTGAGAAGTGGTTGGGGGATACTAGGGGGGCGAGTGTGGTCCGTATAGAGTAAAATTACCTCAGTTTTTTAGTAGATAATATTGAAATTGAATATTTTCATACGAATTGATTTTGGACCAAAACCCGGCTGTATTGATCCTCCTCGTCTGCCGATTTATTTTTGTTGGATGTTACATGAGATTGATTTGTTCGTTTGGGCAGTGATTTCTTGGTCCATTCTAAACATAAAAGTGTCTTAATAGTTTTTCTCTAAGGTCTCAAACATCTCAAAAACCATCGATTGTATGTGGAAAAGTAACAGAGACAATTTTGTACGGCATCAAGTTCTTGATCATTTTGCTTGATCGTGGTGATCTGATGTTTAATGATAAATAATATTATTTCTAGGTGGTACCGTTGTTGATCCACCTGTTTCTCCAAAACACAGGATTTGTTGAGGCAGGAGGCAGCCATCATCAGTAAGTATTATTGGTCCTAATAAGCAATATCTCTGTCAGGAGCAAGAGCTCATGTTGGGACATAGATATTAGATACAGATAATCAAAGCGCGTTGATAAAACCGTTGACTATACTATAACTATCTAAAACTGTAATGACTCATCGAGGTTCACGTGAACATCACTTAACTACCAGTATTCGGCTGTTCATAGGTGGGGTATGAATGTTTAACATGGGTGAACTAGATTTGTCACATGCTTAATAAAGAGTGGTTTGAAACATATTGTAAGTCAAAAATTTGGGAATTACCTTTATTCATCGTCGCTTCCACTTACATCTGACAGTAATAAACTGTCGCTATCGCTTTCCTCGTTGAAATTGACTATAACTAGCTCTATGATGGTGTCGATGCGGTGGTCAAGCTGCCACATTTTTGTTTCTTCCTTCACAACATGACGGATAGCATTCTGCCAAGCTTCGGGCGTTACTAGCTGTATGGAAGTCTCAAGTAAAACCTTAACGTCTGGTAATTTGAAGGTTGTGTTATGGCGCGCAATATAACCCTTCACTTGAACCCAGATGAGCTCTATTGGGTTCAGTTCACAGTGGTAGGGCGGTAACCGCAACACAGTGACACCACATTGACGGGCCATCTCATCAGTCACGTAACTAATGTTCGCAGGTTTGTGCTGTTTAATTTTTTCATACAATTCCGCTTTCACACATGAATCGTCAAACGGGATTCCTTTTTCGCGCAACCATTGCTGCAAGTCACTTTTTCGAGATCCCAAAGTCGGTACACGTTCGGGTCGACGACTATGGTAAGAAGCATTATCAATGACGATCACAGAGTTGGGCTCAACTCGCTGAAGCACCCCTTTTTTTTTTTTTTTTTTTTATACTCCAACTACCACGAAGGCCTAAGGCCTAAGCACCCATTGGGTACCGTGGGGCCATGGGAGATACATGGGAAAAGGGGGGACGCCACACGGACTCTGGCGAGGGAACACGTGTGCATGCAACATGCACACATTCTGGCTCCGCCTACGAGAACCGCCGGGTGGTACCTCCGCGTTCGACAGTCAGAGACCATCTACCACCTACGGACAATCACAACATCCATGGCCAAGAGAAACATTTCTCCTGGGACGGGACTCGAACCCGCACAGCGCACGGCGACTGATCAGGAGACCGAAGAGTCTACTACTGCGGTCACCGCTGCTGCCTAAAACAAACACACAACATCCATGGCGAAGGCGAGATTCGAACTCGCGGCCCGGCCGGCCGGCTGATCAGTAGCACGACACTCTGACCCACGCGGCCAACCGAGGTCCAAAACCAGTCCCCTTGAAACCAGCTCTCGATGCAGCTGGCATTCATTTCGTCATGGTAATCACCTCCTTTCTTAGAGACGAAAATCAAGTCACACTATTCCAAAAAGCCACTATCGCTACCAATATGAGTTACGATCAATCTTTGACCTTTCCCTGACGGTCCACGAAGACCTGTTGACAAACCTTCAATGCCTGCTTGTCGGTTACTCACTACGTTTTTGTCTATCCAGGTTTTTTTAACTGTGTGACCTGCATTTACCCATGTCTCGTCCAAATAATCTATTTTTCTGCTTTGTCGCCTATATTCAATCAGTTCGCGTAGGTATTTTCGACGCCAGGCGACTATTTCAGGTCTCTCTATCAATACTGACTTCCGATTACGCGTTTCGTAACGAAAATTAATTTCGTGCAGGGATTTCCTCATTACCTCGACGCTCATTTGGGGTATAATTTCATTTTCCTTGATCGCTGCATGTACAGCCTTGAGGGTTGGTATCTCATTCCTAAAGAAGAATGAATGTACGGTTCGCCTTAACGCCATTTTGCTATCGTCATCCAATTTAACGGCCTTTCGTCCCTTCAAATTAAACTTTGGATCAGTAGTAGCTCCAGTTTTCTTCTTTTCATGCACCACCCTGCGAATGGTCCACTCTGGAACGCCTGTCATACTTTCACAACGCGCGGCTGCATCTCCCTGCGACATAGTTCTGTTCAGATAATTGAACACGTTGAGCACGATTTCTTTCGCGTCCCTCTTCAGTGCTTTACGAAGCCGTCTACTTGTTCCCTGGCTTTCAGTACTTTCACTCGTGCCATTTGTACTCTCCATGGTTAAGTATAACCAAAACAGTAACCACAGAAACCACAACAATAACAATCACACAACAATTCTTATAAAAACACACAATATGCGATCTCTCAACGAAACACGTTCCAATGCGTTGCCGACGCCTATGAGTCTGCCGGTCGAGGCGCGTCTTTGATTTCATTGGTTCTACCGGCGGAGAACAATCAGCCATTATTTCCATCTCTGTCTGTGCTGTTGACCACCGCAAAGCCACAGAAACGACATATGTCGTACGCTATACGGCTGTACTGGAAGGAAGCCGGGATCGAGCTCTGATCACGTGTTGATCACGCGTATGAGTCATTACAGTTTTAAATAGTTGTAGTATAGCCACAATGTGCTTAGACGCTACCTGCATATTATGAGGGTACCTGCAATTTCGAACAGAACTAATTATTGAAATACCTGAAAATGGAAATAATTGTAATCGTACCTAGCCAAAATAATACGTATCTGCATTCGGTATACCGGTAACAAGTAAAAATATATCTCGTTTAAAAATCGGAAGTTAGGGTTTCTCAAAGCAAGCGAACATGTCAAAAAATGTAAATTCATCTGTAATACGCAACCCCCAAATTTCGTTTCTCTATCTTCAATCCTAAAAAAGTTATGGGGTTGAGCCACCTTGGAGAATCATCCGGTACAGTTGGCTGAGAATAATATACTAAGTGACATATAAATCCGAACACACAGTTTAAATGGTTTTATTTTAATAAAATTTTGTATAAGTACTTAATGAAGCATCATAATAAGTAAATGATAAAAATTTCAAAATGATTGCACTGCTTTAAAGCCCTTTGACATTTAATAATGTGTGGATGCACCCTGATGTGCTACGCATCCTCTAACGCGCTTAGGCATGCTTCTGATCAGGTGGTCAATGTCCTCCTGTGGTATCTCATTCCAGGCAACCACCAACTCCTCTCGAAGTGCTTCTAGAGTCTGAGGAGGACGTTGCAAATTGAGCAATTTCCTACCCATCATATCCCACACGTGCTCAATTGGGGATAAGTCGGGAGATCTTGGTGGCCATGGTCACAATGTGACATCATTATGTTGAAAGAAGTCTCTTGTGACTCTTGCAACATGTGTTCGGGCATTATCTTGTTGGAAAGTTGGATCTGCCAGGGTGTCAAGATAGGGTAAAAGATGGGGTTCTAGAACTTCGTGGATATAACGCTGCGCGTTCATGTTACCTCTGATGAAGATTAAAGGTGACCTGGAACCATAAGCTATAGCACCCCAAACCATAATTCCAACAGTGTGATGAACATGTCTTTCAACAAAAAACTGTGGATTCCTCCTTACACCACGTCGCCTTCTAACCCTGGCAAGACCATCGTGCATGCCTAAACAAAATCGAGACTCGTCACTAAAGACAATACTGTTCCATTCCTGATCCCAGAGTGACCGTTGTCTGCACCACTCAAGGCGATTACGTCGGTGTTCTCGAGTTAAAGTGTGGCCGGTATGAAAACAAGCCAAAACTTCTCATTCGTCGGTAAACACTTCGCATGCCAATAGGTCTTCCGTGTTCTGCAAACCATTCATTTGCAATGGACATGGTAGTGGAGGCCTTAAGGCCAATAATCTTAGGCGGCGATCTTCACGGTCTGTTGTTCTACGGCGGCGTATAGTGCCCCTAGCTCTTTGCGTACGGCCTTCTCGAAGCCATGCCTGACAACACCTAACCACAGTGTCTACACTTCTTTGCACTCTAACTGCAATTGCCCGAAAAGAAGGTCCAGCTTCCCGATGTCCCACTATACGGCCCCTATCAAACTCACTAAGTTGACGAAATCGTACAGGTCTCCGTACTCTGGGCATCGTAACCGATCGTAAAGGATGTCAAGAACCAAAATCCGCCAACGTTGATCCTTTACTGCGGCTGAAATATTCATTTTTAGAGCGATAGTGAATTAAAAAAAAGCAGTATAAAAACCGGAATGTCCAACTGATAAGGCTGAAATTTTTTTCACTTGTTATTTACAGTATGATAAATACATTCACCAACTTTTATTAAAATAAAACCATTTAAACTGGGTGTTCGGATTTATATGTCATTTAGTATATAATAAAAATATGTATTATATTTAGGTGGAATACTTTAGTCAATGTCAGGACCCCTTCTTGGGAAAACCTAAGCGTAGATTAGGAAACTGGTATAAATTCTTCACTGAGATTGTTCGGAGGTACAAAAAATTCCATTTTATAACTATGAATCTAGCTTCTCGACATTTTATCCTTGTTCAATGGCGATATTCGAAATCAACTTCCCAAATTACCGTTCACTAGTGACAGCGGATGACGAAATGGAAGTTTTGTGTTGAGAATTATTAAAGCTTAAATTGAACAAAATTAAAAGATGGCAATCTGGCGTATTTCAAATTTCGTCCAAAATCCAGTTTGTGGGTAAACTGATGGACGCGTAGATCACCAATCAGTAAAAAAATTTTTACCAAGTTCAAAAAGTCCAATTGTCCTATTCTCAATTCAAGTTTGCAACGCTTTTCCAGTTTTAGAGGATCACAGCGTCCACACTAACTACCTGAGTGCTTGTAACTGCAGGTTACGAAAATGAAAGTTTTGCATAAAAAAATTCCGAAGTTTAAAGGCAAAAACAAAATTTCAAAGGCTCTTGCGTTTAACCTGTGAAATCTTCTTCTAGTGTCCGTCATCGCATACACGTTCCACAAAAAATCCACAAGATCTACCACACGAAGATCATCAAGGTTCCAGAGCACCATCACTACTTCCACGAAAAAGAAAAGATCATCCAGGTTGAGAAGCCCAAAGAAGAGGTGCACTACCCGCCCCTGAAGGAAGAGGAACTCGGCGAGTACGATGACCACCAACAGGCTTTGAGTGAGAGTTGGGGTGGGGCGAGTCACAACATCTTCAAGAAACATGTCAGCAGTACTACGGCGGTGCCGAAGAAAGTAGTGAAACAGAAGGAGAGGGAAGATAGCAGGTTAATACAGCGCTATATCTGGGGTTTTCTTACTACAATTTTAACTATTTTGAAAAAAAATTGGTTCTCCGAAAAGATGCATTTGACAGATGCAGTGCTAGCAAGCCGAAATTTGTGGTGATAAGATTGCTGTGTAAAGACTACATTTTAACGTAAAAGTGGCAGTTAAAAATTTCGAGATGGTATCTGGGCACCTTTTTGAAGCATTTTTTTAAGTAAAGTAAAAGATCGTGTGATGCCTATCAAGCTTATTGTGAGTATTTTATAACCCTAAAAGGGTCAGAAGTCGACGTCAAGCCGAAACCGGGTGATAGGCAAAGTCATAACAGCTATCAGAAAAATATTTAAAAAAAAATTATGTATGTGTTTTGAATTTTATAGGTTTTTGAAAAAAATATAGAAATTTCACACCCTACGGCAGTCTATCAACTCCTGTTACTACAAATATTAACTTTTTTTGGATTTTATTTTTACAATGTAATGACGAATAATGCATCTTCAAACTGGTGTCTCAACCTTACTGTCAACTTTTCTCGTTCAGGAAAAATTGCCTCTTATTTCCCAACCAAGTATTCCAAAGTAAAACTTTGCTCAACTTTAATTGTGTACTGGAAAAAAATGTACTACGAGAGTTTGGCAAGTAACCTTAAAAGTTGGCGCATTTAATAAGGATTCCAAAATAGTATAACACTTAGAAGATTACTCGTTAACTTATGCACAATTTTTATTTGAAGAAAAACTGATGAAAATTTTTCTAAATTTCCTAATTAAACAGCGATTATGAAAACGCACAAGGACCCTTAAGGATAACTGTTTGCACAACAGTGGGCGTCAAAATGCTGCTGATGATGATTTACCTATACAGCAAATGCTCAAACTGTTTTCCTTCAGCCGCAGTACACGCTCGACATCTTCTTAAAAGAGATTATTAACAAACTCAGCTGCTTCCAATAGTCTTTGCCCTAGCTCAGCTACATTTTGAATCGGCTTGAAATACACTTTTTTATTTACAGTTCGCCAGTAAAAAAATCTAAAGGATTCAAATCAGGTGATCGGGCTGGCCACGGTATTGTACCAGACCGCCTTATCCATCTGCCTGGAAAGTTTTGATCGAGATACTCTCTCACTGAGAGTGCATAGTGCGCTGGGCAGCCATCATGCTGAAACCACATGTCCCTGTAAATACTCAGTGGCACGTCCACCAATAAATTTTGTACATGATTTTTCAAAAAATCCAAATAAACTTCAGCAGTCAAAGTCTCTGGGAACTCAAACGGACCGATTATTTTACCATTTAAAATTCCTGTCCAATGGTTTATCTTGAAGCGATATTGAGATTTATCTTCTCTCATCAAATGTGGGTTTGCTACGTGCCACTCGTGTAAGTTATGCAGGTTCATGTACCCATCTTTCTTAAATGTGGTCTCATCTGACCATAAAATTTTTTCAAAGAACCGTGGATCTTCCCTGTGTCTTTCTAACATTGTGCGACAAAAAGCAACTCGGGGCTCATAATCCCGGGGCAGAAGAGCTTGAACACGCTGTACGTGGTATGGATGGAGCACGTTTTTTTGCAAGATTCTATGGGCACACCTGTTTTTAGTTCTATTGCACGCACTGAAGTACTCGGGTCTTCTTCGACTGCTCCTAGCACCACGTCTTCGTAAGGAAGGAAAGATCTTCCATCACCGTGTGATTGGTTTGGTAGTTGGCCCTCTGAGAACAGTAAGCGGTGCACATTTGTGAACACTCGATGATCTGGATGACGAGCTGCATTCGGGTACCTCTCACAGTAAAGTCTCGCTGCAGCACTAGCGTTGCATCTGCATTCCCCATAAATGAGGTGCATGTTAGCATATTCTTGTACGAAATCAACAAGCACGAACATGTAAAGATTCGCAGTAAACGAAGGAGTACTGATCGGTATCAAAGTGTGCAATAGCAAGTAACATCCATACCACATACAGCGTGTTCAACCTCTCCTGCCCCGGGATTATGAGCCCCGAGTTGCTTTTTGTCGCACAATATTAGAAAGACACAGGGAAGATCCACATGTGGTTTCAATATGATGACTGCCCAGCGCACTATGCACTCTCAGTGGGAGAGTATCTCGATCAAAACTTTCCAGGCAGATGGATAAGGCGGTCTGGTACAATATCGTGGCCAGCCCGATCACCTGATTTGAATCCTTTAGATTTTTTACTGGGGAACTGTAAATGAAAAAGTGTATTTCAAGCCGATTCAAAATGTAGCTGAGCTACGGCAAAGACTATTGGAAGCAGCTGAGTTTGTTAATAACCGTGGATTCGCTCGTTTAATAACCCGATCTTTTTTAAGATGTCGAGCGTGTATTGCGGCTGAAGGAAAACAGTTTGAGCATTTGCTGTAAAGGTAAATCATCATCAGCAGCATTTTGACGCCCACTGTTGTGCAAACAGTTATCCTTAAGGGTCCTTGTGCGTTTTCATAATCGCTGTTTAATTAGGAAATTTTGAAAAATTTTCATCAGTTTTTCTTCAAATAAAAATTGTGCATAAGTTAACGAGTAATCTTCTAAGTGTTATACCATTTTGGAATCCTTATTAAATGCGCCAACTTTTAAGGTTACTTGCCAAACTCGCGTAGTACATTTTTTCCAGTACAGCCAGTTAAAGTTGAGCAAAGTTTTACTTTGGAATACTTGGTTGGGAAATAAGTGGCAATTTTTCCTGAACGAGAAAAGTTAGCAGTAAGGTTGAGACACCAGTTTGAAGATGCATTATTCATCATTACATTGTAAAAATAAAATCCAAAAAAAGTTAATATTTGTAGTAACAGGAGTTGACAGACTGCCGTAGGGTGTGAAATTTCTATATCTTAGAAGACCTATAATTTTCAAAACACATACATAAAATTTTTTTAAATATTTTTCTGATAGCTGTTATGACTGCCTATCACCCAGTTTCAGCTTGACGTCGACTTCTGGGATACCCTGTATAAGATCACCATCCTTCAATATGGCGAACTGGTAGGCTGTCAAACAGTGCATTAAAATGGGGGATAAAATTTAGAACAGTCTAATTGAAAAAATTGACAGAATCTTACGATTTTTCTCAAACGCTTCATATTTTCTTGCACATTTAGATCCCTTAAAAAAAAAAGAAGAAAATTGATATAACATTCAATAACGTTTCGATGGTTGGTTGACCAATTGGATATACAAAAGAGCAGGATTTTTAAAGCCTTTCAATACGACAATTTGAAAAATAATGATTTTATATTTCAGGGTTATAAAACGCGCATGAAGATCAAAATACGCTGTCAAATGACCCCTCATTCCATTCAAAAAATGTTACAATATGGCGTCCAGTCGTCATCTTGAACGTTTTAACTGTTAGTTTTACGTTGACGTGTAGCATTCATGCATCATTCCATTCCGATTTTCTGTTTCATAATTAGACCCGTTAAAAATCCTTTATGAATAAGAAAAATTTAAAAACAATACAAGCAATTCGACTGTAGTAATTGAAAAGAATGAAGAATCTAAGATCACTTCAAATCAGCTGGTCACGTTGTAACCCGTGCAACAGGAAGTTCAAGACTATTTTTTTTTTAAATCTGCTATTATGATTTTATAAAATTTTTGTCACTCGCTCTGGCCGGAAAAATCAAGAGACACCTCATATGTCAAAATCCATGAAAATATTTGAGCTGTAGCCCGTAGAGTAGGAACTTCTAGAGCAGAGTTCCCCAAAATTTTTTGTGTCGTAGACCCCTTGCCATGTTTTTCCGTGTTGGGTAGACCCCCTACTTACCTGATATTGATTTCCTGTAAATTTCTAACTATAGTGAAGTTTAGTGTTAAAAACTTAAAGTAAAAACACATGTTAATTTATACATATATTAATTGAATTTAAATTAAAACTACTCAAAATAAAATTTTGTATCGGTTATGTAAAATATACGTAACATTAAATAAACAGGTGTCTGACCAATAAGTGCCCGCATTGAAAAAAAAAAAATAAGAGGGATAAAATAATAAAAAAGTGAAAAATAATAAAAAAAAAAGTTTTTTACTTAAAATAGTACGATAGGCGAGTTCGTTTATTAATTAATAAACGTATGTTCTACAATAATTTCACTGTCAGGTTGATTAAATTCCGCTTCTTATACGTTTAAGTTATCTAAAAATAGGCAACAAATTAACGAATTTTAGTGTGTACCTATCCTTGAATTTCCAGAATAATTTAAAAAAAAATATTTTCTATAAAGGAGGGTTCTTTAAAAAAATCAATGCGGGCACTTATTCCCAATGCGGGTATTTATTGGTCAGACACCAATAAACATAACATGAACTATAAATAAAATAACATAAGCAATAAGTCAATATTTTTAGTAAGAAGGATGAACCTGATGCTTTAATAATAAATTATCAACATTTGGCGTCAATTTTGTAAGGGTTAATCTTAAATCTCCTCGGCTAATGATGTCCAGACTGTTTATTTTTTTCGTTAGGAGATTGGTAACCGCGCTGGCCCGCTTTTCCACTAGGTATGACGATGGAAAGGAAATTAAAAATTTCTTCGCTATTCCATAATACGGGATAATTAACGGGTATGTTGTTTTGCAGCCAGAATTGCTGATATCCGTTTTCAAACTGAACCTTAAGTTTTGTTTGTACTTAGTTCAGTCAGTTCCTCTTGTATTATGACATTTGTTTCTTCTATGTCATCATATGGATTAATTATCCACGGTGGTATTACCATAGTCAAAATATCCTCAAACCTAGATTCAAAATCTGAATAGAGCTCATTTAAATGTTGAACGTAAGTTGAAACGTCGTCTTCCTGGCAGCTTGTCTGTGATAAATTGGGGAACTGAGAAGATTCGCCCCGTCCAATATTTTGCTTCATTAGTTTAGCTCTGGCAAGAAACGCTGATAAGATGGACTTTGATTTAATCAAATTTAAACTGTCGCCTTGTAATTGCAAATTAACCATATTAAATTTTGTAAACAAATCTGTTAAATAGGCGATGTCTGTTTTCCTCTTCATTAAATTTTCTTTTAAAATTTTATCTTTAGTATCCAGGAATTCTAAAATAGTCTCAAAAAGTGCAAAAAATCTTGTCAAACATAAGCCTTTCGACAGCCAGCGTACTTCAGTGTGAAGGAGTAATTGATGAAAGTGTTCGTCATTTTCCTCACACAACTGCGCAAATAACCGCGTATTCAACGCGTTGCTTCGGATTCGGTTTACTGCATCAATGACTAAATGAAGTGATTCATGCAATCTAACACTCAAATTTTTAGCAACTAAATGTTGTCGATGGATGCTAACACCCCTGACACATTTTGTTTTAAATAGCTTATAAATCCACGATAACGTCGAACCATGGCAGGTGCTCCATCTGTAGCTACTGATATTATATTTGATAAAGGAATTGCTTTTTCAATGAAGTAATCCTTCAAAACATGAAATATTGATTCACCTTTAGTGTCGGTTATCAAAGTTCTTGCGAAGAGCAGTTCTTCGTAGATTTCTTGATTCATAATAAAACGAACATATGCCAATAATAATGCTGCATTATCAGGTAAAGTTGACTCGTCCAGTTGTATAGAGAAATGGGTCGTTTGCAAATAATTACATAAGAAGCTTCCAATATCAGAACTCATTTCATCAATACGTCTTTCAACAGTATTGTTGCTTAAGGGAATTCTTTTAATGATATCAGATGCAGGTTTGTGTAAAACAGTTTTTAAAACCTGTTCAACGGCTGGCAAAATTAACTTCTCTCCGATAGTATGCGGTTTTCCGGATTTTGCTATAAGTAACGAGATATTGTAAGACGCCCGCAAACCATCATCATTTCTTTGTGACGTCGAAGCGAACATTCTGTCCAGTGTAGGTCTCTTCTGAAATTTATCTTTGAGTGTTTGAAATTATTTCAAATCATTCTCTGTTCTTTCAGGGTGGCATCTTCTCAGATGATCTTGCAGTTTAGATGGTTTCATAGCGTCATTGCCCAAAACTTTGTTGCATAAAAGGCACATAGGCGATTGTTTGTCCGGCAATGATGGAATGAAGCCAAATTTCAAATAATCAACACTGTACTGTCTACATTTCTTTTTAGATTCGGACATGGCATCAGTCATCTGTGGGCAAAATTAAATTATTTAAATAAGACAGAAAATCCAGCAGCTGTATATTAAAAATACTTTTTGATTTTTCAGAAAACATTCCATAATTCGTACATCCTTTTGTAACAATTAGCTCGAATTATGGAGATTGCACTGTAATTATATTACCGATTGCTAAAAGTTTCAAAAAGAAACTATTGAGGAGTACTCGTGTAATTTTGCATGATTGAATATTTAACTACTAATAACTAAAGTCATGATTGGCGTAATTTATCTATCTTTGCTAACTACGAGTACAAAACTAAAATTTAATAAAAAATAATGTACTTACTTACTCTCCAGCACAGAACAAAATAACACTGACTATAATTTGTGTGATATACTATTTGTTTATATTTTTTAAAATATCTTCTTAGCACTTTCCTTTTCAAGATTCAGGAAACGAATAAACGTATTTGTCCCACATTCGTATTTATAGAGTGACGAATTGAACAAGTCAGTGCAAGGTAGCGAAGCTCTGAGACTGCGACTCTCAGGTTTTTACAAGTTCAAAATGTATTGCGACCACAAAGCGAATACCAACATCCTACAACTTACACAATTTTATAAACATATACAATAAATGTTTTACTTCATAGGTACTTTTATAAATAATGTATATGTTTTGATATTATAAGATAGTATGATCTAAGTAAATAGGTACTATCGTGGGTCCCCATATTCATTTCATGGACCCCCAAACTTTTTTTCGCTGACGTAGACCCCTTGCAGGTTGTCATAGACCCCTAGGGGTCGATATAGACCACTTTGGGAATCAATGTTCTAGAGCTTCTATGCCCAGTGTCACTAAAACTGACAAAGCTAGAGCCGGTGAAATAGAAATTTAAAGACTGTTTTTCCTTTATTAATTTGAGGATCATTCAATTTTCAATTGCCGGCACTTATCCCTCCCCACCAAGACATAGTCCTGCTCTACATGAATTATGGAAGCTCCAGCGTTTTGTCGCCATTTCTTTATTTGTAATTCTGTCAACCAGATTAATACTTTACCATTTCTGCTGCTTCTAGGGGTGAGATTGAGGAGATTCTCCAGAAAGCGGAGAGTGCAGAGAGGACTTTGAGGCCAGAGGTACTCAAAAAGGTAGAGCAGCCTCAACGGAAACCAAGAACTAAGAAGCATGGATCCAGCGAAAGGGAAAGAGACAGAGACAGCGGATCTTCGGAACTATCCCTGAAACGAAGAAGAGTCAGAAGGAAGAACCAGCATCCGAATCATCACCCGAATCATAGATATAGCGCTGAAAGGCCTTAGTCAGGTGTATAGTTATTTTTGAGTTTCAGGGCATTTGTCATACTTTAACTGAGTTTTTCCCGTTTGGGTTGCACTTAGTTGGACAGGTCAAAGTTCTGTAGTTAGGTGGAGTTACCTGTTATCCTTCGGGATGAGTGGAAATAGTTTAACTACAATTTGATAAGTACAAAGTACCTATTCTAGATGGTCTAGATTTCCTGGTTTTAACGATTTTCAAGCGACAAACCCATGCATTTGTTGAATGTCAAGCCTGAGACTCTTCTATGTTGCTAACTAGGTAATGATCTAAACTTGAGTCAAAGTCTACTGTCTCTTTCGCATGTTATTGAAATTTACAGTATCTATTAGACTGCTGATCAGCAGTTTGTATTTTATCGTCCAAAGATAAGTCATTAGGTGTCTTTTAGATGTATGATGTTGTATATACGGATGAGATATATATGATGTACGCGAACATTATTGTTGAACTTTTAGTTGTTGAATATATGTTTTTTGTTTGGTTGGTGTTTTAATATTGAATAATAGCTAGAGCTGTCATTTTGGCTGAAATCGAGCAAGCTTGTTTTGCTAGCATGGCATAGCTTGAAACAAGATGTGATAATTATAGCTTGAATCACTGTTTAGAATAAGACAAGCAGCAATTTGACTGCAATAATAAATGGTTTTGTCGAGATACATACGGAAGGATGGCACCGATATCGTACAGCCCAACGAATTCAGACTAAGTAGAAAGAACAAGCCAATCAAGCCGATTTTGTGGCAAATGTTTGACAGTTCTGTCATTGAATTTGTATTTTCATTATTATACAGGGTGTTTCAGTTTATTGTTGCATAACTTTAAGATTCGATAGAACTTTTAAAATTAATGCATAAAGCCTATATAAACATGGGTCGAAAAGTGCGTGGCTTTCGAAATACAGGGTGTTTAAATTTATTTTCTAAAATAGTTTTTTTTTAATATTTCGAACAATATTTGATGTATAACAGTGAAAATTGGTATACAAGGGTTTTTTGGTACGACAAAACGAACCATGGGCATAGTCTTACTGTAGCCGCTAGCGGGCGCTCTCTACTGTACCTCTGGTGTATTAAAATGACCGAAAAGTTTTTCTTTTTTTGCTTTTTGAATGAAAAAACTGATTCTTCGCACTTTTCTGCATAAAAAAGCTCTCCTGTGAGTTTTTGTTATAGTTAGCCGTTTTTGAGATATTTCGATTTTTAAGGTTCGATGCATTTTTAATTATTTATGGGAAAACAATATTTTTTTTACATTTTCGATTTGAGCATTACAAGTAATTGAGATGATCGTTTAGATTGTGTTTTTAAACACAGCAATGATTCCTAACTCCAAATAAACACAAAAAAAAAGAATATTAATTTGTTTAATTTTCCAATTTTATTTTTAACAAATTAAATTGATGATTTACAACTAAAATGCTATTGGATAGTTAGGACAAACATACAAAATCTAAAGTAGTTGCTCGAAATGTAAACCCAATTGTTCAATACACAATCCACATCTACGAATGATCGAACGTGATATTGCATTATTCAAATAAGGCCTTATTTCATCACATGCATTCCTGATTAGCATATCTCTTGTGGTTACGGGAGTCTGGTACACTTTTTCTTTCAGAAATCCCCACACAAAGAAATCTAATGGATTTAGGTCAGGGGATCGTGGAGGCCAGGCGACTGGTCCTCCACGGCCGATCCATATTTCTCGATAATTTTCGTCCAGCCAGTCTCTAACTATTCTCGTTTAATGAGCAGGGCAACCATCAAGCTGGAACCAGGCCAATCTTCTCAAATCTAACATAAGATCATCCCACATATTTGCATGTTCAGCCTTTAAAAATTCCAAGAAAGTCGCAGCATTTAACCTTGCAGGCAAAAGGTAGGGTCCAAATAGTCGATTACGGTAGATACCAATCCACACGTTCACTCTAAATTCATGCTGAAAATTTCTTTCCCGAACTGCATGCGGATTTTCATGCGACCAAATATGTTGATTATGAAAATTTACCACTCCACGTCTAGTGAAGCATGACTCATCGGTCCATAAAGCGTTACTTAAAAACTCCCTATTATTATCAGTTCTATCAAGAATCCACTGACAAAATGTGATTCTTCGTTCTCCGTCCCCTGGCTGTAGTCCTTGCAGGGGTTGCAAATGGTAAGGATGTCTATGGTCATTTCTAAGAACACGGTGAACATGGCTTGCTGAAATTCCCAAGGCACCAGAAACTCTCCTAACACTTGTGGACGGATCTCTATCAAACTCACGCAGAATCAGACGGGTAAATCTGCGGTGACGAACATTTATGTTTTGATCCCTTTGGAGATTTCCAAAACCATTTTCAATTATTTGGCGATGCACTCTTACAAATACTGAGCGAGTTGGATGACGTCTGTTTGGAAATCTTCGTGCGTATTCTCTGGCTGCTTCTGCTGAGTTTCCATTTACAAAGCCATACACAAAATGAATATCTGCTCACTCTTGATTGGAGAATAAAAATGGCATTTTTATAAAACTTACAAAAAAAAAACAGGTAAAAGAAACTAAATTTCGTGCATTCACAATTGCAAAAAACGTTTCAGGTTTCAACAGACAACAAAACTAACTGTCAAGTAATTGACGTTTAACCTTATTCTGCTTTCAATTTCAAAAATATTTGCAGGCACAGCCTACTTCTAAATATTATCGAGATACTGACTTTTTAACGTTATTTTATCATAAATAATTAAAAATGCATCGAACCTTAGAAATCGAAATATCTCAAAAACGGCTAAATATAACGAAAATTCATAAGAGAGCTTTTTTATGTTGAAAAGTGCGAAGAATCAGTTTCTTTATTTAAAAAGCAAAAAATTGCACTAAAAAAATTTTTTCGGTCATTTTAATACACTACAGGTACAGTAGAGAGCGCCCTCTAGCGGCTACAGTAAAACTATGTCCATGGTTCGTTTTATCGTACCAAAAAACCCTTGTATACCAATTTTCACTGTTATACATCAAATATTGTTCGAAATATTTAAAAAAACTATTTTAGAAAGTAAATTTAAACACCCTGTATTTCGGAAGCCACGCATTTTTTGATCCATGTTTATATAGACTTTATGCATTAATTTTAACAGTTCTATCGAATCTTAAAGTTATGCAACAATAAACTGAAACACCCTGTATAATTTTCTGAAACTGCGAGTATTTGCATATAATTGTAGCGTTGGTCGATTTCAAGATACAGCACATCTTTTATAATTTGCAAAGAGCGACACAAGCCTAATAAAGGCAGATCTTTCCACCAACAAGTCTTACTATTATCATCTTTATACATCGTTGTTACTTTTACAGGCAATGGTAATAAAGTCAGCAACATAACACAGACATCCCTTTTCTGCGTCTTATATACATATAGATCAATACATTGAATTATTTTTTTTAATTCATTTCTTGTTACCGCTTTGGGGTATTCCACAAGGGTAATTATTTATTTTTCATGCCGCGATCAAGGCTTCGAGGTCTATTTATTTATTCATCTGATGTAATATATTTACTTTTCAACAATGTGTTATATTTTCTTTATAATGATGTATAAATATTTGAATTGAGAATTCGAAAGACGTTAAAAATGGATTGGAGATATCAGCGCCCTCTATGGGACAGTAGCCTACACGTTGGCTACGATTCACTGTTTCGCAGTGGGCGATTCTAACGGTAGATGGCGCTTCACACTCATTACGCTAATCAATGTTTAGATCCAAATGGTTCATATGTAGGACAGTCACCTACTTTAAAGATAATTTGAGAAATGAGTATCTGGTGATTAAAATTTACATGTCGAAAGTATATCCGATCACTATCACTATTCGATAATTTTATACAACGTCAATTTATGTTAATTTGTTTTCAGGTCGTTTATTCATTCTTTCCATAATAAATCAGAAACACGCTGCAGCAGTGAATAATTTAGATATTATAGGCACAGCCTGATATCATCTTACATACTAACTGATTAAAATATGTTGTTATTTATCATTAAATATAAACGAAACTGTTGCTTCAAGAAGGTTTGTACATTTGCTGAAGCAACAAGTATGCCACGATGTGTAATAAACATAGATCAATGGTTAAGGCAATATATTTTACATTAAAATCTCTTCAAATAGTGTCATTATTAATATGGATTCAAATTCGTTTCGGTAATTGTAACTATTCTTTTTTACTTGTTCAACTTATTTGGAGTAGGTATCTGAGTAGAACAGGCATGCAATTTGTTTCAGTCCATAAAATTGTAGACGGGATGCAAGTTGATCATGCTTAAGTCATTCAATTCATTCAACGTCAACTTTCCAAACAATTTTTTGCGGAAAAATATGTACCTCAACGTTGTGATACCGGTACAGCTTTGAGTATCAGTTTTCATTGCAGTTGATTTTTTGAGTGCCGAATCGCCATCTAAGGTTTGTTATCAAAGTTTCATATACCTAATACAACACTGAAAAGTCAGAACTTATTATAAATACCGAGAAGTCCAGCTGGAACTTTTAAGTTGTATCTAGTTTCGTTTTGAATCTGTAATTTTACTAATTTAAGCTCCACGGCATTAAAAAATCAATTGACGTAAATCATTTGACTATTTTACTGGATCATGGTGAATGATATATAAGAGCAGCAATTACAACCTCATGTTCAACTATTTATTTGCATTTAGCCAAAAATCTACACAAATCACACACACACCCTGGCCAGCTATATAGGATGTTAATTAAGTATGTCCCATAATCGAACTCTTTGAGTAATTTTAAGACAAACATTTCATATAAAATAAAAAAGAATGGGTTTTCGTAAATATCTTAAATATCCTTTACCTAATTTTGTTGTAATTTGACAGTAACATTTATAACATTAAGGAGCTAGTATAGCCCTAACTTGATTAAATTAATCCAGTGGCGTCTCGAGCGGGAACAGAACGAATATTTGTGACAAAAAAAATGTACGCCACTGAATTTGTGGAAATTTTATTATGTTCTTTAGATTGAAAAAATAGACACACAACTTTTTTCTTTGCTGAATTTTTCCGTATCTTGCTTAATTACATATAAGTACAGACCTGGACTACACAAGAAATATGGGAAAAATTTTCTTTTCGAGATTATTATTTTTTTTAGAATTTTTTATTACTAATCTTGTAAAACAAGAAATACTACATACCATTAACATCTAGATTAACAAATTTCACTGAATTAAGTGTTTGAAATCGCGTCCTTTGGCTTCAATACAATCGTCTAGCCGCCTCATCATTGAATTACGCACCCTCCTGAAAATACCTGGCGTATTTTTTATTATATCACATGGATTAATGATTCTATTCCGTAAATCCTTTTTATATACCAACGCTTTAAGTTGTCCCTAGAGAAAATAATCTAAGGGATTCAATCGGGCGAG